CTTAATTAATTAATTAATTAATGTGTGCCGCTCAGCTACATCTCAGAGAAGCTCAAAAAGAAAAGATGCATGTGCATTTTTGTACATTGGATTCCAAATATTTACGCTGCTCTGTTGTCTAGAGTTGTGTTTATGTCTTTGTCACTTTCAACGGCTTTCGCAGAGTCACCTTTCTCTCTCGCTTTATTACTCCAGTCTCTTCACCTCATCTCGTAACACTTCCCACCCTCAAACATGGCTTCTTCCGATCAGTCACCACCCCCAGCCCCGGAAGTTCCCCAAGTTGATTCGCCGGCTGTGGTAGCATCACCTGTAGTAACGGTCTCTGTAACTGAGTCCGATTCAACCGTCAAAACTGAAAAGGAGGAACCTTTGGCTTCAGCATCGGATTCCTCTGCCATAATAGAAACAGAAAAAGAAGATACCCCGCCGCCTCCACCGCCTCCACCGCCAACAGAGGAGGTGTCAGAATCTGCGTCGGTGGAAGTGGCCGAGCAAGTGGAGCCATCGCAGTCGGTGGTTACAGAGTCTAAATCACTGGCGGTGATGATGGAGAAAGAGCAACCAGGACTACTAGAGTCTCAGGAAACGGCGATAGCTGCGGTTGATACCACCCAAGAAGAGGTTGCCGTTGTTTCCGAGGAGAAAAAGAAAATTCCTCTGAATTTGGTCTCTTTCAAGGAGGAGAGCAATAAAGTAGATGATCTCTCCGATTTCGAGAGGAAGGCTCTGCAGGAGCTGAAGCAGCTGGTGCAGAAAGCTTTGGATACTCATCTATTCACTTCTCCACCACCAAAACCTCCGTCTAAAGAAGAAAAGGGAGCTGAGCCCCCTTCAGATGCTCCCAAAACTGAACCACCCGCGTCAGAATCAAACAAAACCACCGAGATAAAGCCACCGGAAGAAAACCCAGAAAAGGAAACAAAGGAAGAAACAAAACCAGAGTCGATTCCACCGGAGGAGGTTTCAATCTGGGGTATCCCTCTCCTAAAAGATGATAGGAGCGATGTTATTCTCTTGAAGTTCTTAAGGGCGAGGGATTTCAAGGTCAAGGATGCATTTACCATGATCAAGAACACAATCCAGTGGAGGAAAGAGTTCGAGATTGATAAGCTTGTGGAGCAAGATCTTGGCGATGATTTGGAGAAAGTTGTGTTTATGCACGGATATGATAGGGATGGGCATCCTGTGTGTTACAATGTTTATGGGGAGTTTCAGAACAAGGAATTGTATCAGAAAACGTTCTCGGATGAGGCTAAGAGAATGAAGTTTTTGCGTTGGAGGATTCAATTCTTGGAAAGGAGTATAAGAAAGCTTGATTTTAGCCCTGGTGGTATTTCTACCATTTTCCAGGTTAATGATCTCCATAATTCTCCTGGACCAGGAAAGAGAGAGCTTAGATTGGCAACCAAAAAAGCCCTCCAGTTGCTTCAGGACAACTATCCAGAATTTGTAGCCAAACAGGTACTTTTGTTGGATTTATGTTCTTGATACAGTTCTATGAAACAGTAATGTACAGTCGTAGTATTGAATGCTTCCATTTTCGGTTTGGACAGGTGTTTATCAATGTTCCTTGGTGGTATCTTGCATTCTATACCATGATTAGTCCATTCATGACCCAGAGGACCAAGAGCAAGTTTGTTATTGCTGGGCCGGCAAGGACTGCTGAAATCCTTTTTAAGTGAGTGTTATTCTGGTGCCAAAAGGAGTTCTGAAGTTGCTATTTTCTGTTTCTGATCATGTTTTTCCTTTTTGTTAATTGAATTCTAAATTTTGATGGATTAAACAGATACATATCACCTGAGCAAGTACCAATACAGTATGGTGGGCTGAGTGTCGATTTCTGTGATTGCAACCCTGAATTCAGCACTGATGATCCAGTCACTGAGATTACTGTGAAACCAGGAACCAAACAAACTGTTGAAATAACAAATTTTGAGGTTTGAATCTTTGTTTTTTTAATGTAACAGTACTTGCAATTCATACACGCTCCTCTTGTTTTGCCGTATAATTGTAATTGTGCTTGGGGATGAATGTTTTATTCATGGACAGGATTTGTGTTTTGCAGACATGTGTCCTTGTTTGGGAGATCCGCGTCGTTGGGTGGGAGGTGAGCTATGGAGCAGAATTTGTGCCCAATGCTAAAGATAACTACACAGTTATTATACAAAAACCCAAAAAAATGGCCCCAAGAGATGAACCGGTTGTGTGTCATAGCTTCAAAGTTGGTGAAGTGGGTAAGGTATTGCTCACTGTGGACAATCCAACCTCAAAAAAGAAGAAGCTTCTCTACAGGTTCAAGGTCAAACCCTTCTCTGATTGAGGGTGTTCACTTTCGACTTTTGGAAACTTGGCCATGGAAATTTAATTTATTCTTAGGCTTAGCTAGTTCGTTATTTTGGGGTGTTTTGTACATTGTATGATTGTATCATTAGTGCGAGAAGAGTGCAGATGGAGAGTGCAACATGGTTTCGAATTTAGTTTTGGGCATGAGAGGTTTGCAAATAAATAGAAACATTCCTCTTCAAGCAAAACACAAATTTGCATGACAAGCAGAGAGTTCTATGCACCAAAATTTTTAGTTGGCTTTTGAGTTATGCGCTGTATATTTCATTCTAATATTTGCAAATCTTCCATGCCCTAATAGGTTGAGAAGAATATATGTTTGTTATTTTGGCTATGTATTATTTGAGTTCCTAGAAACATTTTATTTGAGCATTTAGTTCCTTGAACATAAAATCTTGCATATTTATGTAGCAGATGCACTGGATTCCATTGTTATTTTTAAGTTGCTGGATGTACTGATATTTACATTCCCGGTCTTCGCTTTAACCATCCATAAGATTGTTTGTAAATCTTCAAAATAAAGCTAGGATTCATGCTTGCTATCATCTTCTGGCAACAGAGTTTCTGGTGCTGGAAATGAGCAGAATGTCGCCAAACTCTTTGATTGTTGTTACCATTACTTTGTTGTCGATGTAGTAGGTGAGATATTGCCTATTGTCTGCCTCGAATCCAAAGAATCTAACATTTGTCAATGAATTCTTTTTATGATCAGATCTGAACCCCCCTGGAAAAGTTCTGGTGAGAAACATCATGCGTTATGTGGCTTATGTTAACTACTACTATTTTGACTGGAAGATGGCAGTTTGTAAAAAACAAAATCAATCGAACCCGCTGCAGTACCATAACCCTAGAAAGGAACTGGGGATTTATGAATTGAAATGTCTTCTTCATTCTGATTCATGGGGGACCATTTTGGTTTGAAAGACTGATATTTGATGAAATGCAGATGCCAGAAATGTTGGCATTGTGCACGGATCCCAGCTCTAAAAAAAAAGGAGAAAAAGAGAGAGAGAGAGAAAAATGAATCATTTTTGTTAGTATATATATTTTTTTTTTGACAAAGCAGTGTTCAAGAGTTAGGAGTTAAAAGTTAATACCTTACTCTTTAGCAAGATTTGACCATTAGTTGGGGTACATTCCACCAACAGCCTTTTGGGTTGCAGTGGTACTACTGAACCACAACAAGGGAATTCATTATAAATAGGGCAAGGCGAGCCTCAACCTCAATTTAACTTTCTCTCTTCTCATTTGGTAATACAGGTAGTCCAATCAAACAATCATATTGAATCCTTGATTTCATATGAATAGAGAGTATTGAGTAAACTACACTATTTTTAGTCATTGATAAATACATGTAGTTTCAATATTAAGAGATTAATGTCTTTTTATCAATAATTATAAAAAATTCAACTCATGCGGAGTAGATTGCACTTTAGTTTTTTGTATGAATATGAGTGCAACAATTGATGGCTTATTTCCATAATCTCTTTCCATCATTTGAGATTTGTACATGTGATATTAGAAGAAAATGTGTAAATAAAGATATCAATTTTGTACTTTTTTTTATTTAATGATATTAACTTTATTAGTTTTTAAATAAAAATATCAACTTTTAATATAATTTATTTAAATATGTTAATTTTTAATATTTTCTATTTAAAAATTTTAATTTTTAACTTTTTTTTATTTGAGAGTTAATTAGGTGGTGATGTTGGCATGAGAAATGGATTTTTTAAAAAGATTAACATCTTTAAATAAAAAGAATTGAAAATTGATATTTTTAAATAGAAAAGTTGAAATTTGATATTTTTAAATAGAAAAAAATTGAAAGTTGACATATTTAAATAAAAAAAAAGTAAAAAGATAACATCTTTATTTATAAACTGATAAAATTAATATCTTTAAATAAAAAAATACAAAGCTAACATTTTTATTTACACATTTTCTATGTCATATTAACTCAAAAGTAATCAACTCTACCAATCCCTAAAAAATAGCCTTTCTCAATTCTTCCTTAAATGAATCAACAAAAATTGTTAGTTTCAACCAAGCATTTACATTATCTTTGACGTTTACATTAAATTTTATTCAAGCTGGTCTTATTGCCCTATTGTCAATTATTAAATTATAAACTTATTAAAAAAACTCATTCTCCATTGGAAATGAAATTAAAAAAGCCTTTATACCAATTACAAACTAACTTGAATGAACTTTTTGGTGAGTTGTGATTCTATGGGTTGTGTTTCTGTGAATATCTATGCTTGCATGTGCGTTTGTTCTGGTTTCTTGACCCTTTATCTTTGGTTAATGAGTTGGCCCTGTTTTATTAATTCAATTTGAAAATAAATATTTATTTTAATTTTTATTTATAATAATAACTTAAAAGTATATTTAGTTTAAGGGAAAAAAAAAAAGAGGAAGAGAGTAGAGAGATGACATTTTTTTATCAATTATATTGTAATATTTAAAAATATTAAAATTTAATTAATTAAAAAAGTTATCCATTCTTTCTTCTCTTTTCTATTTCTGTCAAACCAATATATATACCATATATTCATAGTCAAAAAAATATTAATAGTCGCTCAAGTCTTTGAGAGCTTGTTGTCCTTGAGTCCTGAATTCAAATATTAATAATTGTCCATTTAAAAAAAAAAAAAATTTTGCAAAAGAAAGCTAGTGTTTGTTCATTGAATGGGATTGGTTGTTGAGCTTTCAATTTCAATTTTTAAGTTGGAAATGTTGGTTGTTGGGGTGAGGTTGTCGCCACCCACCTACTATTTTGTTTAATTTAATTATCAAAAATAATTGTTAATTAATAAAATAATTAATATTTAGCATATTAAAATTTTTAATTTATAAATTAATATTTTAAATGTTATAATTAAATATTTTTAAAAAATATAAATAAATAAAATATTAATTATATTATATAAAATTTAAATAATTTTAACAAAATAATAAGGGTTAAATCTCCAATTTGATCCCTGAACTATTATACAAACCCACAATTTGGTCCCTAAACCAAAAAAATCCTTGACTTAATCCATAAACTATTATACATATCTCTCGATTTGATCTTTACTATTTATCAATTTACCTCAAGTTGTCTTTTTGTATAAAAAATTACTGACATGTCTCGTTATTAACGTCATATATGGTCGTTAAGTCATTGTTTTTCATTATTAAATAACGGATAAGTCAAATTTTTTTTATACGAAAGGATCAATTTGGGGCTAAGTTAATAAACAGTAGAAACCAAATCAGGGGTTCGTATAATAATTTAAAGATTAAATTAGGGATTTTTTTAGTTTAGAAATCAAATTGAAAATCTATATAATAATTTAGGGACCAAATTAAAATTTTAACCAATAATAAGTTGCAAACAGCTGATAGCATCTTCTTCCACTCCTGCTCACCCTTTTCCTGTTTGATTTTTTTTTATTTTTTATGACAAA